TCCAACCCTTCAAAGCATTTTACATTCTTGAGTTGTGGACACTGAAATAGCCCTGCAAGGTTTTCATAAATGCTAATTAAAGATGTTATGTACAGGGTTCCTGGCCGATCTCACTTACCAGCTTCCAGAAATGGCTGCAGTGCTTCTGTGTGCCTTAATTTTGCAGGCTTACCAGCTTACAGTGCCAAAGAAGCCAGCACCCCTCCAGCTCACGAAAACTCCCTAAGTGGCCTGCCAGCCCAAATAACTGCCCACCCCTAGATTAAAGGCATGGAAACTGCCCACCCATGGATTAAAGGCATGCCTTTACTTGGCTCAGTAAAGGCATCCAGGAGGGCCTGAGGGCAAAAAAGGTGGCATACAATCAGTGGAAGTATGGCGCAATCACCAAGGAGGATTACACCTCCGTTGCTCGTAATTGTAGGGAGGCAGTTAGGAAGACCAAGGCAGAGGTGGAACTAGGGCTGGTGACCAGAATTAAGGAGAACAAAAAGTCCTTTTTCAAATACATAGGGAGTAAGAGGAAGGCATCAGGTAACATGAGGCCCCTACAGGACAGGCTTGGCAATCTTCTGATTGCAGCAAAGGAAAAAGCTGATCTCTTCAAGTTCTTTGCCTCTCTATTTCTGAGCAGGGACCGAGACAACTCCCCCACTAGGATTACAGGCTCAGGGAACACGATGCCATCCCTAGGGTCAGGGATGATCTAGTTAGGGAACTTTTGGGTGGGCTGGACGTGTTTAAATCAGCAGGTCCAGATGCTCTTCATCTGAGGGTACTGAGGAAATAGCAGAGGTCATAGCAGGGCCCCTGGAACGGCTGTATGAGCGCTCGTGGTGCTCGGGCCAGGTTGTCGTACCCGTAATTGGGTTGAGTGGATGAGTTACTTAAAGTAGACATGCAGATCTCTAAGGCAAGCTTTGTTTTATTTGAGAGAGAAAGAATAACTTAGAGTATACTCAAAGTCCAATACAGCATGTTCAAGCCTTGTTACCTCTTATGCACAACTTTAAAGACACCCTTACAGATGATGCCTGGAGCAGATCAGCTAAGCCGTCGGTTCTGCAGCAAAACTTCTTAAGTCATCTGTTCTCCCAGCAGCACGTTTCTACGGGAACCCGAAGACCTGTAGACTTTGCTCAAATTTTGTCCCAAATTTATTCTCATTCAAGCGGAATTTAGAACCAAATTTGGATTAACCTTTACTGTGATTGGCTAAGGGGCTATTCTACCTGCGGTTAGCAGACCTTGTCTGCATAGTGCGGCTAAGTTCATATTGTATCCTGTTGCGCTTAAAATTTTGTCATGCTGCACTGTCTGCCTTGTTGGGCGAGCCGCACTGAGTATCTCCTTGTTGGGCTGAGTCGCTTGTCTGAGCATCTGCCTTGCTGGGTGAGGAGCTCACCTTTTGACATGGTTTTGTGGTTTGCAGCACAGGTGTTTTATTATCTAGACAATGTCATGAAACCATGTTTCTCTGTTTCAGCAGCTCAGTAGCAACCGTGCAGTCGGAACACTTAGGTTTCTCTTTTGTCAACTTCATGTCTGCTTTCTGTACTGTCAGCACAATCGAGTATATGGGTATCACACGGGTCCTAGAGGACTAGAAAAGGGCCAATGTGGTCCCCATTTACAAGAAGGGGAGAAATGAAAACCCGGGTAACTATAGACCAGTCAGTTTCACCCTTGGTCCTTGGGAAGACCTTTGAGAAAACTATCAAGGAGCACATCTGCAGGGGCCCAGCATGGGAGGTAACGCTCAGGGGCAACCACCACGGGTTCATTGCGGGCAGATCCTGCCTGACTAACCTTGTTTCCTTTTCTGACCAGGTCACAATGTCTTTGGATACAGGCACTGAGGTGGATGTCATCTACCTGGACTTCAAAAAGGCCTTTGACACTGTTTCTTACCCTATTCTTATAAAAAAACAAAAAAAACCCAAAAAAACAAAAAACTAGGCAACTGCAGCATTAATGCCTACGCAGTCGGATGGGTGGCAAATTGTCTCAATGGTCGCACCCAGAGAGTGGTGGTGGACGGGTCGTTTTCAACCTGGAGGGATGTGGGCAGTGGAGTTCCCCATGGCTTGGTCCTCAGGCCTGTGATATTCTTTATCGGTGACTTGGAGGTGGATGTGGAAAGCACACTGTCCAAATTCACTGATGACACAAAGATGTGGGGAAAAGTGGGCACACTGAAGGGGAGGGACAGAATCCAGCTAAATCTAGACAGGTTACAGAGATGGGAGGATGGGAATAGAATGGAATTCAACACAGACAAGTGCAGGGTGCTGCATCTAGGGAGAAGGATCCTGCAGTATACCTATAGGCTGGGGAACTCCCTTCTCAACAACACAGTGGCTGAAAGGGACCTTGGAGTCATTGCTGACTCCAGGATGGACATGAGCCGCCAATGCAAGAAAGCGGTCAGTAAGGCTAACCAGAACTTGTCGTGCATCTACCGAGGCATCACAAGCAGGTCCAGGGAGGTGATCCTCCCCCTCTATGTGGCACTGGTCAGGCCACAGTTGGAGTACTGCATCCAGTTCTGGCCACTGCACTTCAAGAGGGATGTGGCTAACCTTGAGAGGGTCTAGAGGAGGGCCACTCGCATGGTTGGGGGGCAGCACACCAGGCCCTACAAAGATAGACTAAAGCGCCTGAATCTATTCAGCCTCCACAAGAGAAGACTGAGAGGGGATCTGGTGGCCATCTATAAACTCACCAGGGTGGACCAGCAGAAAATAGGTGAGGCTCTGTTCTCCCGGGCACCACCTGGGATAACAAGAAATAACAGCCACAAATTGATTGAGAGCAGGTTCCGGCTTGATATCAGGAGACATTACTTTACAGTTAGGGCTGCCAAGCTCTGGAATGGACTCCCAAGGGAGGTGGTGCTCTCCCTTATCTTGGGGGTCTTCAAGAGGAGGCTGGATAGACATCTGGCTGGGGTGTTGTGACCCCAGCACTTGTTCCTGCCCAGGGCAGGGGGTTGGGCTTGATGATCTGTTCAGGTCCCTTCTGACCCTAGAAACTATGAATTCAAAGGCATGTTTTCAATCTCAAGGAGCTCACTGTTTAACTTATTAAAGGGAGGCATTTAAGGCAGTGGTGCCCAACCTGCTTGCCTGGGGGGGCTGAATAAGCAGCGTCCACTTTGTCCACACACCAGATCCAGCCGGCAGTCCCAATCCGGTGTGCAGGGAGGATACAGTGGGGCCCTATCTGGCCATACAGAGGGGGGCAGCCCAGCCCCATGGTGATGAGGGGGTGGGGCCATGTGGCATGGGAAGAAAGGGGGTGTGGTCTAGCCCCAATCTGGCCATGTGGGAGGAGGGGGTACAGCTCTACTCCAACCCACCACAGGGAGCTTGGGAATTTGGAAGCCAGAGAAGGCATCAGTATTGCCGTTGCCTCCTTGCCATCAAATTTCCTGACCGATGAGGAGCCCTGTAGGTCATGTGTCATGGTTCTGTAGGTCAGCCAGGTTGAGCACTCCTGGTTTAAGGTAACTCAATCACACAGGAATAAAAAATTGGTAATAGAAGGCTCGTCAGCCTAGCACACACAAGCAGGGCAGTATCCAATTGCTTAAAGCTGAAGCTAAACAAAATGAAACTAGAAATAAGACAAAGATTGTTATTGGTGTAGATATTAAAACTGGAAAAGTTTACCATCACTCTAAATACCGTATAAACTTCATTAGTGCATGTGGCGGGTGCAGAGATCCCACCTCAGGAACACAGCTGGGTATTCGTATCCCTCCGCTGTTTCCACCACGTGAGGCGGGCCAGTAGGGGGTGCTCCTGTGTTGAGCCGCCCACCTCCCTGCGCCTGACCACCTTCCAGGCTCCGAATGCCTCCCTAGGGGCGCCTTATGTCCGGCCA